AAAAGCGTCGAGCAGATTTGGAAGCACGCGTAACTGAAAGTGAGCAGAGAAATGCAGAATTGATCAAGAAAATCCATCAATATGAACGGAGCGCCAAAATGGCGTTGAATGTGGCCGGTATGTTCGTTTGTTAATGCATTCTAATGTGGAGGCAACGAACATGGTAAATGGGACATGCCACTTTCTGATGCGGGTTCTGCCTTCGAATGAGATTTGGTAAGACTAATCAAATTGTTTACTTTCTTGCTTGTGCACAATGAAAAGATCGGACCCATAAAAGAGACAAGGGAGCGAAACTTTCCCACGTACAACTCTCCTTCGGCATTTTCTTTCTCGGTGTTTTTTTGACTAATGACTTGATAGCCGAAATTTACGATCTCGCTTATGAGCTCAACAAAAACTGCGGCGAAACTTCGAGAAGTGCTGCACCATATGTAGAACTGAACTACGTCAGATCAACGCGGTGTGTGGCCCGCTTTTTGATGTGGACCAGGCCTTCGAATGAAATTTGATAGACCAAAACCGCATTGATGAAAGTGCAATGCCCGTCGCAGGGAATTGTAAATTCCTGCGACACCGCGGGTTCTATTTCCCTTTTTTTACATGGCCGTTCGGAATAAAGAACCGGATTGAATATACCATTGAACTGAGCTCTTCAAGTTTCACAAGATGGCATTCAACACAGTAAAAGCTTAATTCCTTAAAAGGTTGATTTTTTGGTTAACTCTCAAGTTTGGACGGTCATTTCGTCCTAGTCTAAGAGGGTAGCCATGCCCTCAATGAACGGCATCGGCTTTCAGTCGGTGCTCTGCAGAATATTCGTAGTCAGCATGAACCAAGAAACGTGCTTCGATTGTTGTATGGTCTTCAACATCATTATGGACAGAACTTGTTGTAAATGCCCTTCTTCAAGTTCTATGAAAGCCCAACTACACGATTGCCATCCATACTTTTGGTTACCCAGATCAAATGCTATATAATGGTCCATCCCTACATTCACCTTGGTCAATTTAAAGGTCTACGTCGTGTATCGATATTAAGGGCCACACAAAGAGGAAACGTCAATCGTCAATAACATCGACAACCTAAATTCTGCAGAGTTTGGCTGTTGCCTGAGATCGTCCATACATTAAATGTTTATTTTCCCAGAGTAAGAGTGATACACCAGACTTGGGGGTTTTCTCGTAATCAGAGTTTTTCAAATAAAGCCCTTGAAGTGTTCAATGTCATCCTGTAGAGCTCAAAGAGCTGTGGGTAATTGTAATTCAACGTAAAAAATCCTGTTTTGAACCGACTCAAGACAGGAAAATCAAAAAACATGAATTCGCATCTCCCATGCAAATTTAGGATTCTCTGCGGTGAGTACTGTAACGCTAAAAAAGTTAAACAGGTGCAATTGTTGGGTGTAAGAGAAAGAAGAAATAATGGCTTGATCGAACGCCAGGTTCCTCGAACACTCTTTTCGTTTATTTCCCGAACCACATAGTAAGTTCGGAGCTTTTGGAGCATGAGCAAATTCTCTATCGTAATTCTTCCCAGTGAAAGTTCACGACCCACACAGGTCCTCAGTTTCAGACCCTTTTCATTGTTGTAGGCTGATAAGAGTATCAGAATTTTGGTGATGTAATGATACTTTTGCAGGTAGCCCAATTGCCCTCCGTGGTGGTCAATCAATCGTTGATATCTCCAGAGCCACTGCATCATCAGGTAATTTTGTAACTTTTTTTCAGAAATGAGGGATATGCACGAAGCCTGAAACTGTTGATTTTACTTTTCGACCATATTTGTGTTTCTTGCGAAGAGCAATGGAACGAGGAAGTGTGCCGAAGGTGATGGGTTACAATCCCTTTACTCCTTTCCATCGGCCGGTTACCGACATGCTGCTAATTCTGTGCTGAGAAACTCAGAGAGAAGCTCCGATTTGATCCGGTTGCTTGCCAAGAAGCCTCATTCGAATTTTCATGTACCCTTTCGGTCAAAAATGAGATTGTCTCCAATAACCTTATTTTCTGCATGGTATCATTAGACACCCTCTCTCAACTTTTCAATAGGTAACAGCGCAACTCTTTCGGTAGACATTCGGTTGGGCAAGTCCGAGAGCTTTTTCTCGAGCTTGTGGAAAACACTCCCAAATTGTCCTTGTTTGTTTACGAGTCCTGTACGTAAGCAAATAACCAAGATATTTATGGGAGACTTTCTATTCAGGCTATGGAGATTCGTATTCCATGCTTCGCACAGCTTCCAGTTCACATGACATATCCAGAACGTCGCCAGAAAGAGCCGTACGTGTTCCGGCCAATTATACACTTTTTCCTTTCCATGCCCTTTACTTAGGTTCACTTCACCGATCATGACAGCGACAAGCTTGATATCAGCACTTCCATGGAGATCACCCTCCGATTCCTCAAAGAAAGGATTGAACAATTGGAGAGGGACAAGGTAAGCGTCGAACCTCTCCCTCAAATAAGTACTATCGAAAGAAAAATGCTCGTGTAGGCTGAACTCACGAACGATCTGAAATCGCAGCATGACGAACTACAACGGAGTCTTGCGAAAACGAAGGAGACAGTGGGAAGTATGCAGGCGCTGGAAAGAAAAGTTCAGGACCTGCAAAATGGTTGGTTTAAGCAAACAATGACAGTGACATGACATGCTTCCACAGCAACCATGTTTGACTCGATCTGTGTAGGTTATCGCGAAGTTGTGGAGGTTCTCAATATGGTTTTCCTTGGCGATTCTCGACAGATACAGGACCCACTTTTCCTCAAAATTTCTCTTCACAGTAATCAAAATTTTCATTTGACCAGTGATCAAAGTAGTAAGCGAGTTGAACAGTGACTTTATCGTGACTGGTCTTTCGATTTCGTTGTCTTCGGAGCCTGAGAACGCAAAAAAAAACCTCTCTAGCCTCTATCTAAACGCACAGTTCAAGATAATCATCTACTTTTAGACGAGTAATGGAAATAAAAGTCTAGAACAGTGCAGAAAAGGGAAGAAATCGTCGTGTTTAGAGAAATGTAAGGCCGTCTGCGTCAGTGTTCGAAGTACGGGAGCTTCATGGAGATCATGAGTTATGAAGAGATTTGAAGCTTTCGCAATGTTGTCCACCAAAGAAGATGTTCGAATAGCCCGTTTTCGTCAGGTTCTCATAGCGCATTCCCCAGAAACTAGTGATGGGGATCATGTTGCATGAATTCTTAGCGATTGCTTCTTCTTCACTTTAGCTGTCTGATTCGTGTCTACACTTCTACATTCCATTTTCATAACCTCCACTTTAGACACCTTGAAAACATATGACGCGTACGTTCCAGGCCTTGCCAGTGAAAGAAAATTTCTGGGTCACGTATTTCTGAAGGCCGACTTTACAGCTTCGTCGTTTTGTTGGCAGACAACCTTGTTGGATACTTGCTCTGGGTTGGTAAAGCAACACCAGCCGCTATTCTCGGTTTTTCAGGCTTCGAAGGGAACCAAGGAATGAATCGAAATATCGGTCATAACGAATTATTGTCTCAAAAACACCAGCGGTCCCTGCATGCGGCCGCCTTCTTTTATTTTGGAAGCTATGTAGTAAACCCTTGTTGCCCGACTTACTTGTATTAGAACAGCCATATCAACCTAGTCATTCAGTTTTTGGTTTTCAGTTTTACTCGGCATAATCAGGTGCATGTCTTTTAACTAAATAAGTATAATAAATAAACTTAATTATTTCTGGCCGTAAGCCTAATCAGCAGTTTATTTATACTGAACAGAGATATGCCATCACTGTAATAAGTTGCTGGATGAGTTGGACAAACGTGCTCATCTAAACAATTGCGTTAAGTTACCCAATAAAGGTTCATACCTCAAAGGATATCGCTCAGCATCGAAAACAGTGGATTGACGGCAGTATAACAGCATCGCCCATAAACTTTGACAATCATGAAGGACTTCCTTTTCCAACAGACTCGTTGGCTACACTTCTGTTAGAACGCATTTCTAGCAACAGCAGTTCCTCAGGTCGCGGAAAATTGAAAGGACTTATCAAGAGATAATGGTCACATTCGAACTGGTATCATTGCTGGAAGCTTCCGAAGGAACAAAGGTTCCAGCGTCGTCACCACACATTATTTGCAAATCCTACTGAATAATATCAACTTGACAGAATTCACTAGAATTTAAGGAGTAATTCCTTCAAGGCAGAGCAATCCAATAAAGATTTATGCAATCTTTTTGCTCTAACCACTTCATCGCGGCTTCCAATTTGGCATGTTCAACTAGTCTATTGGGTTTGGGTGCTGCCGGGCATTCGCAGAGAATCTAGTTTGAAGGGCATGGTTAAAGGTTGAGATCCTCCCAACATTTCTGGGAAAGTTTCAACGCCCATTGTTCCAGTGCCTTGTTGACAATGTTAAAAATAAGGTTCCTTGAACTCCCGTTTTGAAGTGTGCCACATGCTGATTATTTGACCCTAGAGGGAACGTGGACTTTGTTTGCGTCGGCGAGAATCGATCCAGGTTTCGATCCATGCCCGCGTGTGCGGTAATGCGCCACTTGGCACTGCTCCATCTCACTCGTGTCTGTTGAAGCCAAATTCAGTTAACAACGCTAGGGTTTTCGCTTTTCATAATTACGCATTCTTCATGTACTTCTTTTACTTCAGAGCCTAGCTTCCACTACCTCTAGGAGCATTTGATTTTAGTTCATCTAGATTCCATTCATTCCTAATTTTGCGTACGACAGAGATATGAAAAGGTTTTGAGGATTCGATTGAAGTAAAGTGAAAGTTGCGTCAAGAAACGCTTTTCTCTTACCTTTTACAACTTTTGTTCGACCTTGTACCTCCGTTTTCGTTTGTGTTACAGTTATCAGTCATGGATCAGAACTTCCCAACAATTTGATGGCATTCAAGTTGGTTGTGTGAATATGAGAAACTAACATTTGCTGTAAACTTCAGCTTTTAACCGGACGAGTGTCGTAGACGAGCGCTGACATCCAGCTTACGCTAAACCTTTACATTTCTAGAGAACGACAATCTCGAGTCTCGTTTGGCTACTCAAAGACAACTGTATGTGTCAAACGAAGAAACAATGCGAGCGAAGGAGTTAGAGCATCGCAGTCTGAAGGCGAAGATTATGAGTGCTGAGCTCCACCTCCGAGAGAAAGACAGCAAAATTAGTCAAATGACGGTATGTTTGAGTACAATATTATTCTGTTATTAGTTCAGTACAATCTGCGTTTTAGGGTCAAATGGAGGCGTTACGACTAGAAATTTCCCAAATGGCTGGTGATAGGCAGAGGTTGACATCGGCTGCAAAGGCTACTGAAACCGAGATGAAAACTCTCGAAGACACTGCTCATTCCATTCGGATCGAACGCGATCAGTTTGCTGCACGCGTAGCTGATATGAACGCGGAACTCAAGGTAGTGTAGTTGGATATGATTTTTAAATGAGGATATGATTTTTAAATGAAGGTCTTAGAAGTTGTTTCATTTCACATGTGTGACAGCCTTATAATACGTAAGTGCAATCACCTACATAGTCAGCTTTTTTTGTAAGTTTAAGCCCATGTGCCTCTCCAACTAACAAACCAGGGCCGGCATCGCATACCACCAAGCGTGATGGTGCTTAGCGAGGCCTACAGGCGAGGCAATGAACTCAGATGAGTCTATCTTTCCAAGGACGGGTCTTTCTCTCACTGTGGGAACTTGGTTAACCAACTCTTGCAGAACATGGACGGCAGTCGAAATGTTGTTTTAATCTCTTTTGAACACAGTGTTGATTGGTCTTTTTGCCCACTTCAATTCAAGATTTATTGTGAAAAAAGATGAATTTGGTGCGTTTTTTAATAGAACCTTGTTCAGAACACACAAGGTCGTCTGAATGACGTTCTGTCAGAATTGGAACAAACGAAGAGACTTCTCGAAGATTCTCGGCGACAACATCAAAAGCAAAAAGAGCAGCTCGAAAGACTCATGTATGAGGAGAGGCATTGGAAACAAGCGGTAAGGAACTGTCTCCAATTGTCTTAGTGTTCGAGTTAGGATGTATCGCATCCTTCAGAAGGAGCTGATTCACATGAAGGCTTAGAAGCGCAGTAATAACTAAAGTTTGCAACACTTTCTACCGAATCTTCACCCCTTTCGCGAGAAGCATGAATATGTTTTTCGTAAAATGGCCTAATGGCATTGGTAAGAGCTAACAAATGGAAAGAGCGGTGTTCAGGCCGTTACTGCAAAGAAGACCTCCGAAGACTATCACAAGTCAATTTATGAAGAGAAGATAACTCAGCTGCAGCATAATCAAGAGTCCCTATTGTCCCGGAACGATGCCCTTGTTGCCGAGATTGATCGATTACGGTGAGGAACGGTTTTTCTCCCAGCTTGTTACTTGTGCTGACTTCATTTTCAAGTGAAGGACATTCAATTCGATGGTTCTTCAAATAACTATCGATTCAGTTATTTTATGATTATTGAATAACTTGGCTTTTGTCAACGGCGCCGGGCCGTGATTAATACTTATTCAGAGGTGAACAACGAGACTCTGCGAACCGTGTTAACCTTTTGAATCAGAAATTAGCGGAATGTGAGCGATCTCTAGATAGTACGAACCAGCTGAGGAACAATCTCTCGCAGCAAGTTGCTGCCTTACAAAAGGCCGAAAGAGAGTGGAGCAAACTCGAGCGTGAAATGAGGGATGAGCTAGTGGGACTTCGCAGAGGTAATAGGCCTGTTTGATGGTTATTTTTCCCTACGAAGAGCTATTCTGATTTGGGTCATTTCAGACAAGTTAGTACTTACATCAGAAGTCGAGGAGCTAAAACGAAAGCTGGTTCGAGCGGAAGTGGAGAAAAAAGAATTGGATGGAATCCGAGCTCGACTTGAACGCGAAGTGGCGTCGTTAAAGAAACACGTTGAGGCTGTACGTCTTCCTCAGCTTTCATGGAGTATTCGGAATTCAGATTGGATTATAGTCAACAATGAGTTTTCAGCTCGAAGAAGAAAAAACGCGCACGGATGCAGCTGTTCGGAACACCCTTAGTGAGCGAAAGGCAATCGACAAGTCGTTGGCCGCTATGGAAAAAGAAAACTCAGAACTCTATAGAAATTGTGCTCAATTGCAGTCCCAGGTGAGTAATTTGGGATCGGGATGACCTAAATAAGAATAACATCGAGTGACTGTTCAGATCGCACAACTGGAACGCGATGCTGGCAGCAAAAACGTGGCTAAGTTGCTCAAAGACCATAGCGAAATGGAAACCAGAATATCTAAACTTACAGTGGAGAAGCGGCAAGTAAGTGTGGCACGTCTTGGAGTTAGCTAATCCTCTATCCCCATGCAACCTAAAGCGCTCTCCCTGTGCACGTATTCGTGTTTGTGTTTCCTTCTGAAGACGCAGCATGTTGCCCGACTGTATTCATGAATTCATGAAAAAGTTCACCATGTAAGAATAAGTGAGATAGAAGGTGTTCTGTTGGATGAGATATGACGTTCTCTTTCCATCCCGGAAATTGCGATAAAATGAAGCAACCGCAACTTTCCCATTTCTACCATTCCTTCAAAGATTTGCATGGAATTTTACTCCAATTCTATGTCGTTTACTGCAGTTCTTGATGATAGTAACACCGTTTTATCGAAATATTTGCCATCCCTATTTTTGTGAATATATTATATTAAATTATATTTTTCTAAATTTATATTACTTCCTTGATAAATTTTACCACTTCGCAATTGAATGGCATGTAAAAAGGATGGAAATGATGAAGGACAATGTATCAGTTTAGTGGGAACTCAAAAGAATTCTGTCGTGAAGTGTGTATAGGTTTGGCACGAAAGAAAAAATTCGGAGCAGAATGAATTTTGTTGAGTAGTGGGAGTTTGGAAGCTTGAGGTGAATTAATGAGGTCGGAGGGAGAATAACTTATGAGGGAACAAAATCTGATGGGAAAGCTTCAGTACACAGCGAACCTTTCAATAGCTGTCCAAGACTTCTTCCAAAGAGTGGCGGCTGTTAAGTGATGTCTTATATTATTTTTCTAGAGCTGAAACTTGGTTATTTCCAGTGGTTAATCTTTCCTCCACTATTTTTCTCATATTTTCCAGTAAAATCTCGTGTTTTTCTTGCAACTTTTGTTGGCAAAACATTTTTTTAATGTGTGACCATTTGGACGTAACAAAAGAAATTTCGCTTTTTTCCTGTGTACTATTTATCCTCTCAGAAAACTTCTCCCAAGATTCACTTTTACTGAGATGAATTCTACTGAAGTTGTTTCTTATTAGAATACCCAAAATCCCACGTGTTTGCGCCTGATCATTGGTTATTCATCCCTGTGTTCAAAGTATTTCTCCCATGTTGCAGTCGAAGGGCGGTCCTTTGTGATGGTAGCTATCCAGTTTTTGTTTTGATCACCGAACCACCCACATGTCTTAAGAGAGGGTGTCCTTTGTTTTATAGGGCTAACAGTATGTGGGTCCTTCTGTTTTAAGACAATATCCCCTGAGTTTAGTCTTATCCTCAAGGGTTTGCTTTGGTATATTGAATCCCCATCTTCATCCATAGTTTCTTCAATTGCTCTGGAACGTCAATTGGCCACGAACGACGGAGTTGGCGACGATTCGTAGCGAGGTATCAAATGTGAGTGAAAAAAATAGAACGCCATAAAACAGAAATTAGCTGAGAGTTAATCTTTTATTAAAGGGTAATTGAGGATGTTCCAAATTCTTTTGGTTATAGATTTGAAATCAAATAAATAATGCAAACCATCGGAATATGAATAAGCCAGACTTATAAGCAGGACAGTGATGGCACTTCCCAGCTCGCCTTCGTCGGTAGAGTACAACCAGCTTGCTAGCGCTGCATTCCCATCTTCGTCATTTGGCGCCTCCTTTGTGGCCCCCTCTTTCTCAATTGTCATTGTTAGGGCCAATTATTGGGAAATAGTCCTCAAAAATCTATGGCCTTTTGAGTGGATTCCTCTTCATACAGCAGCGCTAACCGATATCTCCCAGGAAGAAATGCGTGAGCTAGGTCCCCTAGCTTTTCCCCTTTTGATCCCCTTATCCATGAATAGTGGTTTGTGTCGATTATGGTATTAACTGAATGAAGAGTGAGTGATCAGTAACCATTTCGTTTATTGTCTCAGTTTTAGCTTGAAATGGTCATTGAACAAAGAGAGATGAACTTCACACATAAACGTAAGCTGTTGGAATCACAATTGTCGCTACTTCGAGATCAATTGGAAGCAGAAAGGAAGAGACGGCTGGAACTGCAACAACGCGATGCAAGAGCTGCAGCAGGACCTGTGGCAAGTGGAGCTACACCAGAGCGACACTACAGCCGTGCCTCCGATGTTCGAGCAAGTCGATCGAAGTCCATTCAACGGCACAAAAGCCCATTCCGGGTATGAACCATACGAACTACTGTATCATGGAGAGGGTACTGTCTCAAGTTAGAGACCGACAAATCGCACCGCTATGTCGACTAACCAGCTTCGAGAATGTTGGCTTCTTTTTAGTTTGCTGTTTAGCTTTTTCTTTCTTTGTTCGTTGTTTAGCATTCCAGTGATGTCTGCCTGTGCGTCCCGTGCTGCTTACCCCCGTAGTCCTTTGTGTGCCGTGTCGTCATCCCATGACTTCCTTTTTAATATTAACGTTTTTCTAACGTTGCATAGTGGTATTCGTCTTTCATTCATTTGCCGATCTCATTCACAAGCTTTGCCATCCTTTCTGCTGCCGACCTTTGCATTTACACGGCCAATTCATTTTATCGTCAAATTTTGTCCTATTTCACATTACATCTTAGAAGAGTTCTATTGTTATTATGAAATGAATATGTGCAAATTTTTTCTTGTTCACAGATCCATGATCCCGCCTGTTGCATGCTCTCCGCTCTCTGCTGATTAGGTTTGCTTTCCTCCTTCAGTTTTATCAGAGCATGGTTTTGATGACGTGGAAGCTACCCCAAACTAACTTGAGCAATCTGAGGCCTGTCATCTCTTTCCTCAATAGAATTCTTGATTTTCAACTCAGCTAACTGTGAGTTTCGAGTGATGCTGGCACCCCTAAGGAATGGAAAGCGCATCCAGGCAAGCACATAACAGCAGCACTCCCTTCCGGGATTTTTTTTCTGACATTTACCAATTTATGACATTAGTCGAGATGTAAAAGGCGCTGCAGTTTCGCCATATGCGATTATATGCTCTATTGACGCAATTAAGGGAAGCTTATCAGATGCTTCCTACTTGTGTTAGTTCGGAAAGTGGAAGCTAATCTTCTTTCAAAGTCAGGGCACGTCCAATTGCATATTTGTAGACAATGCAGGCATGCGCAATAGAGAAGAAAACGTTAATAGACAAGCTGCAGCGTTTCTGTTGGAAAATCACTCTAATTAAATCCCTGCGACACAGAATGACGGGAGGAAAGATGCTTCTTTGAAGCTTTCAGTTCGGCCATCGTCTCTGTTACCCCTCCCCCCCTTTCACGTCCCACAGCACGCTGCCTAAATCTGCTCTCTCTCCAAAATTCTTCCATTTTTCAAAATTAAATGCAAATCCAAGGGCGCTGATTCGTATACTTCATAATTATTTCGCCTGCACTATTTTATAGGACTCACCATCTTAGAGTAATGTCCAATCTAGGCGAGTGAGACTCATGAACCCTCGGCGCTTTACTTTTGTAACACTGAGCACCTTGTTCTCCCGTGGCTCAAAGATCGGTCAGGACAATACACCGAAATTCACACTTTTAAAAAATTCGAGATAGAAATGAATTCGGACTGACGGCGGCACTCAAAACAAGGAGTGACTCTCGTCCGAAAATGAGTTTTTGCTATCCAATAGAGATTCACGAGGACAAAAATTTTTTCCGACTCTCTAACTCTATTTGAGCTGACTGGCAGCCCTTGGCGATTGGCGACGTCACAATCTGCTTTCGGGATGACGGGCGTTTAAATCCCCTACTGCCCAACAACTGTGAGATTGATTGCTTGACTTTCGTCTAACATTTATTGCAAACTTACTTCAATACTAATGCATCATTGCACATAGTAGCAACTAATCACAGCACAGTATGAAGTCGATTGTTGGCTGTTTCTGAGAGGTTCTTCTCGAAGTCGCCGTAAGTGGCATTTACGGTACAGCGACCTCGATGGGACTCCTTGTGGTAGGCTAGCGTAGACCACGCTGCTCTTGGAACAGCTCACCTTTTCACAGTTGCACCGTGTTTCTAGAACTGCTTCATTTTCTGCGTTGAAAGTGAAGGTTTTGCCTTCAAGGAAAATCATTTTGTATGTATTGCTGGATGGCTTGTGCTGTGGTCGTTGTCCGAGAGTGATAGCAATCGTATAGTGCCATGTTTGAAACGGAAGAAGTGGATAGAATAACGCCAAGTTGGGTGAGCAATTGACGGCTGCACCGTTTCAGGTTCATCGTGCGGTCTCATGCGAGATGTTCGAGCAATCCTACCGCTACGAAACATCGCTGTCGTCGATCTCGACATGCTCGTACCTCACCAATGACACATCTACTAGCATAGAGACCACCATACTATAGCCGTGTTCCACTGTTGTCATTCAGTAAACTCACTGCGCGAATCATCGAAATCGCTCAATCGTTCTGTTTTGCCCATCTCATCTTGTTGATTATCCTTGGTTTTTGTAGCTCTTTTCAATTGCACGATGCACATACGAGTATGCTCTTCGGTGATCACAATCTCGTCCACCTGTGTTTTTGTTTCGGTTTCACTTCGATATTGACCATCTGGACGCGGAAATATCTTGTTCCTCCGAAAATAATACATAGAATAATCGATATAATCGAAAGTCCGCGTCCATGCAATGTTCATGGTGTCGGTCAGATTGCGGTGATTTCCCTCCAATAGCCTTTTCAAGCAGTATCTTCCACTGCCGTATCCGCCCAAAACCAACTGTCATCAGTCCATCTCGTCTCCAATGTATATACATCCATAATTGCATAGAAAATAAATAATTGCTTTATGATCTGCTAGCGTCATCCATGATAGAAGAACAGTATCCTAGAATGAAAGTAGAAAATCTTTTCAAAACCCTGCCGCCCGCTCGCTTCGCGTTACCGGCAGAATGTCACAAAAGGCTGACACATAAACTAGTCACGGTTAGGGTTCACCGATAGTTGCATGGAGTGGAGGGTTTCTTGAGAACTGCATTTACTGAGTGAAAATTGGATTAGTATCCTCTCGTCAGTAACAGTAATGTTCTTTTGACTCCAAGTGCAGAATATATACGCCTCATTTTAGCAGTTCTGTAACTACTTTTAGATGCAGCGTTTGCCTTTTTGTAGATTGGATTCATCTTCTTCCAGAATGTCGAGTACTCAATTCGTTGAGCAAAAAAACTCGTTTTCCTTAGCGAGCAATGTTTTTCTCATCAACATATTTGAGAACAGTCACTTGCATTGCTTTTAAATTGATTCTGTAGTACAATTTACATTTGTACTTGAAAATGACATGTGGACTACGTGCACTAGAGTTCGATTGCACATTGCAGAATTAACATTTGCAAGTGAATGGTATTGAAGCTGAAAGTACGGTGAGCTAGAAAATGAAAACGAGAACAGTGGAAATCCACGTCTCCAACTTTTCTTCAGAATACGGTACCGTACCGAAGGCAGGAAGTTTCCTCATCGATGTTAACCCGCATTCGCACAAGCTGTTGAACCCTTAGTAGGATACTGCAGGGTTGTACACAGCATCGCTGATGGAAGGGTGAGTTTCAGGTCTCATAAGATGGGAATAAAATTGGGAAATGATTCTGATATCTACATATATTGCTTAAGAGCAATCTACAAGCCGCCTAAGCATTTTAAAATTTGACGACCACTGCAAGAAACCATTAGCAAGCAAGTGCAGATCTTGAGGCTGTTTCTTGCAATCCCCACCTAAATAAGTCATGCAATATGTATAAACATATATAACGGAAGAAAAAACGTTCGATTGCAACAGGAAGTTCGGAGCAAGAGCATTGTTTTTCAATATTTGATTGGGAACTGAATAAAACTGTCAAAAGGAAAAGTAGAACAACAGCGAAAAACAAAGTAAGGAAAACCAATAACCACAAAACAAGTGAAACATACAATACACAATACGTCGTTTTGAATCCAAACGACAGCGAAAGCGCAGTGTTCTACACATGCAACAATGATCGAAAAGCGAAAAAGGCGCAGCAAAAGTCGTACCTCTTCATGCGGCTACAGGAGGACAAACCACAACATGGTAGAGTGAACGAACTTCAAAATACTTTGGGTGAACTTACATTAGTTTCGATTTGGGATCTGGGTGCGATACATTGAACAGGCGCCCGCCTTAGTCTAGTCGGGGAGGCCCCAAATTGGCAGAGAGCGAGAGCATGCCACGTGGCAATGAATTTCCGGCGACTCTTACACCATCGTTGTTATCTCTAACCAATGGCGAAGTCCATCGCTTCAGATGGATATCAGTTTGGTTAGTCGTCCGGCTAGTCGCAGATCTAATTTACTCCATCTGGCCTTACAATTCTTTCTCTACTGTTGCATTGTTCATGGTGGCTGCCAGCGTATTTAAGCAGTAGTTATATGGAACAGGAATCGCGCAGTCTGTGTGAACCACGGCATGAGCGCCCCCTTGTCGCAACAGATTGACATTTCTTAATCCCAGGGCCCAGCTCGAACCAGGGACGGTGCCCAATCGCAGGTTCCCTTCCTTAGTCTTACGGTGTTTTTATACTCTGTTTTTATATGTCAACTATTTTGTTTTTTTTTTCTATGGCTGCTTAGATGCGCGTTTTCACATAGTTTTTATGTTGTTACTTTCGTCGTGGTCTGTACAAAACACAACAGGTTCGATGGGGATTTCACACGTCTCTTCGCTGTTCTCACGCATTTCTCGCTTACTTCTCTGGTCAGCCTGGAATCAGATTATTAGGGGTAGGGAATGTGAACCATCCTAAAATCTGCATGCATCTGAAAATCTGCGTGCCTTTGCATCTTGTCAAGTGGTGTCCTCTAGTTCGTCAAAGTTTCGTGATACTTCAGGCCTCGGAGTTGGGAACATGTTTATCCTAGTGACCTCCGCTTGAGGTTGACTGACCTTCTTCAAATCAGCGTACTAACAGTCATCAACTACGATGAAGATAAAATCATTGTTTTGTGGTGTTCTCTTAACTAGCGATGGGCTTCCTAGCTGTTTCATTTTTTTCTTTTTTTCAATGCGTGCCTCTTTGCTGTGGAAGTCTGTCCCCGGTGCATTTTCCTTTTTCTTCGACTAGAATTGTTTTCTCTTCCTTTGAATACGCTGTTGCATGTTTCACTAATGAATAATAATAAAGTCGTAATATTTGCGCAGCTTTTAATTTCATTCTTTCATATGTACATATTTCTTGATTCACTTGATAATTGATTGATTGATTTGATTCAGTTGAAGAATGATAATGTGCATGAATGTACTTGATGTTTATTGTATAGAAAACATCTCCATTTTTATTATTTTTACTTATTTTATGATATGTCTTCTCACCGTATTTACGTTTGATTACTTGCTTAAATTGCTGATGCTGCGGTCCTCTTTTGTTAAACAGTTGAGCAGCGCAAGTACCGTGTGCGTCGCATGACTTCTTGCAAATGGATCTCTCCTAAGATAATCTGAAGCGGATTCAACGTTACAGTGGAATAGGCGCCCTTTTCTGAGAAAGGATTAGTTTTCATTTGCAGTTGATTATAATTGAACGCCTTATTTTATAAACGCAATTATTTGACCGAATGGACTGGAAATCTTTCTGCTCGTTAAAGGAACTTGTTATCGCCATGATTTGTCCCTCAAAAGCAAATGATTCTAACGAATTCCCTTTGGTAACACTTGCTTTCTTTCTTGCTCCCTAGCTCTTCACTTATTGTTAC